TTTAAAAGTTACTACGATATATTATTACTATATTATATATGTTCTATGTTATGATCTAACAGTAGGAAGTTTTCACATTTTTGCTTCGTAGAAGCAACGCTGACAAGCTTCTTTTAATCATAATTGTTTTACTATTATTACTTATTTCACGCTGAATTCCAAACGTGAGCCCAAAATCCGTTTGATTGGCCCGGAACCTGAAAAATTAGAAGTGCATCACGGTTAAACATTGGGAACATCCTGAACCTCTACACTTACATTAAATTCATTCAGTTAAGACTATACACTTATTTCCTTTAAACATCCGAGCTTTTATCGCAGAATATTCGAATTTGAATTCACTTTAAAACATCCTGCATATGTCACTAGTATACAGCGAACAGATGTCACCATGGAAAGATGGACATTTCGTTCGTATGAGACTAGACTCTCAGTCAAGAGAATAAAGAAACTGATATGCCCGTTCCATTGAATTGCGATTGTTCTTACGAATAGCTTAAGATTCGTTTATAAGTAATCCCTACGTCCAGTAGGCTCTAGCTAATATTTTGACTCTGTCAAAATTAATAGTGATCAACCATTGACCAAATACCAGGCCCATGAGGTGGAAATTCTTCATTCAGACGTTAGAGAGACCAACGGCGAAATTTATTGAAAAATACCAGGAGCGGAGTATAGCCAAGTTTCTCACGAAAAATGTTTTTTGATAAACACTATGTCATTCAATTCAGTTTTTAATGTCGATGCTTAGTATGTTATTTATTTCGATTAAGGATTGATTTTTGATGGTAAAAATATCATACTATGAATGAGTTTTTGCGTATTTTGCAAGGGGAAAAGCTGAGAACTGAGGTTTTTGAGAAATTTTATGCACAAAATAGCATCTTCTCAGTAGAACTAGTGTGCATATGTTCTTCAATACTTTTTCCTTTGTTAATTTAATCATATTAACTTCAGCAAAATAGTCAGTGATATGTCATTTATGCTATTTTATTAATCATCTTACTACATGTTAATATCTTCCTAAGTAGTCTGAGTTGGTTGTAGCAATTCTGTAAGCTAAAACTGTGTCGCTAACATATTTTGTAAATAGTTACAAGAGTATAAAAATATATCTCAAAGTTCAAGCTGAAGTTACATCCGAGAAAAGTTCTAGTGCGAGAATGACATTAGCAAACTTATTCAGCTTTTAAATTACATTGCAAAAACATGAAAATAAAAATATGTTTATTTTTTTGTTATCACACGTACCAAACGATCCGAAGATGGTATGTGAGGAGCCAGCAAGCCGTTTGCTTGTGTAAACACTTTTCCCGATCATTGATTAATACTCTGAAATAGGAGTGAGCAAGTGAAGGTTTCACAGTATCATAAACACGCATGCCATTGAAAGTACAGTTATTAACGTTCGACAAATATTACGAATCAATTTGTACGTCACTTTCATATTCATCTTCCGAATCAGTTCTTCCTTGTTCATATTGATTCACCACATTAGTGGTCTCATTATCCGATTCCGAATCTGAATCGGAGAATCACGTTCGTTGGCTTGAATATTCAATTGTTCTTGATTTCTCCAACCGGCTCTTGACAAAAAAACTGACGTCGTCGATTGTTATGATCTTCCTAGTATTTTTTAAAATATCAAAAAAAAGGTCCTGACACAGACCGAGCTGAACGGAAAGTTGATTCACATGTCTGTGAATTGAATAACCAAACGGGAAGAGCTTCTTCAGGTAGTTGATTGTCGATAACGAGAAGAGTAAGATAGGTTAGTGTGTGTGTGTTTAATTCAATAGACTAAATAAATGATAATATTATTTAATGGTTTAATATTACAGGATTTGTACTTCGAAAAGAAACTGATCAAGAAATGGGCAGTCTACTATTTTCGAGTTATACCTCAAAACAAATGTCACTATTTTCATCCCCTCGTACATCATATAAAATGGTATTATCGCATGAATAGCTGGATAGGATGACTCATCTATTTTACACGATTTTATCAACATAGGAAAATAATATAAGCCTTTTTCTGAGCAGTGTTGAAGTTCAGTGTATATATTCACTGTTAACTTGACTTTACAAAAAATCGAAACATAAAACACTTACAAAAAATGATGGATTTGTGATAAAAAATTGTTGTTTCGACTTTTGGTGGTCTTTTGAGAATTGGGAAGTTTTCTGTCATCCAAATACAGATCATTAATAAACATTTTGTCGATTGACACAGACCATAATCAGCAGATGAAAGTTGGTACCCAGACATTGTAAAGGCGAGCCATATGATTGGTGTCCTTTTCGATGAATGCCAGTCGAATATATTTGATGATCTTACAAAAAATAGAAATGACGGGGAATATGTTCAGTTTTTCAACAAACGATTCCTCGATATATGTAGTTAGGTACAAGAGATAATATCCAATATATAGGTTACTATAGTTATTCTTTTCATGCACTCGAATACATGTATGTAATCATTATGTTGAGCTACCTTGGAAACTACATGAGCACATCACATATCATTTGTTTTAAAATTTAGCGAAATTTTTGTTCGATCATGTCAGTTGCGTTTTAGCACTACTAGTGATAAGATATATTCATTTTAGATAGATTATTTGATGCTAGCTGGCATATTGAAGATGAATCGTTTAAGACTATTGTTTATGCAGACAGATTTGAAGCAAACCTTTGTTCGTATATTCATTAAATCAAGTAGTCCTGAATGTAGATGAAGGAAGGACCGTAGGTCACAAGTATTATATTGAAAATCGTTTGAAGCTTTTTGTTAATGTAATACGGAAACAAACAGAGATGTCAGGTTCAAAATGTACAAAATTGCTTGACGGTCATCGCTGACTTCATCTCATCCGATGTTATTTATTATTTGAAGAAGGCATCAATATAATGTCGCATCCGCCATATTCGTCATATCTACTACTACATAATATTTGGTTAAATAATTCTATCGAATGAAGTTTTACTAATTAAATAAATGAAATGTAATGTGCTCATGTGGTTTTCAAGGTAGCTCAACATTTTTTAGAAAAAGAGTTCAAAAAAATTTTAATAAATTGTTCGAACGGATTGAACTTGGTATAAATAATCATGACAACTATCCTGAACATTTGATAAAATTAAATTAAAAATATCTCCTTATCTTTATATTTTTATTTAATGTTGCCAGAACTTTTGGTCAGCCCTAAGTAATATTAATCTTGAATTTTTTAAAATCAAAGAAGCAAGAAATAAGTAGCATTAATATTTTTGCGCTACATTCGTGTCTATTTCTGAGGTTATTACTGATAATTTACGTTGGAAATAAAATATGGTTATCTGAAAACAAATCCACATTTTTGATAAATTTGATTGAAAATTGACGTTTTTGATGTAAAACTGATTTAATCTTAAAAAACTCAGCTTAATCCCCCTTGGTATTTTGCCATTCGTTTTGAAAAAATTCATTTTCTCAGTAGTGATGCATTATTTTTGAAAACTAATCGTCAGTTTTTACTACAGATATGGTGGTTAGAATGAAGTAAAAATTCTTTTATGTCTTAACTCCTAGGACTATATACGGTTTGCAAGTTGGACAGTGGACATTTCGCAGTTGTGCTCGTTTTTTATTTTGAGTTCGGGTAGCAGTTTGACCCTTAAATAGGCCAAAATATTGTCTTTTATACTCAGTTTTGCATGAAGAATCAGAAAATAAGTTAGAAACCAAAGTTGTTAGTAAGTCCTTACATGCACTTAACATTAAATTAAGCAGCCAAGTGCTACAATGACCGTTTCAGGATATCGAAACTTGGGATAAGCTTTGACGTTGTAGTGTCCCAGCAACAGGTTCTAAGACCGTCTACAAACTAATTCAAACATATACTGTAGAAGAAAAACTTGAATAGAAATAAATTAAGAAAAGCATTGCTTCTGAGTCAAGTATTTGTGACTAGCTGACTGATAGATAACGAACAACGAAACAAAGCAAAAATAATAACAGACTGTAATTACGTCAGTGCACAGAATTGTCTTCAAACTCGAAAGACGTAAGGCTTCAGTCAACCTATGATCTAAGCGAAGAATATTGTCCAAGCTATTTTTAAAATTTTGAAAAGAGAATGAAGATGAAAATTTTGCTTTTATTTCAAAACGTCAGTCAGTTTTGACTATTTTCAAAATCAATACTTTAAAAATGTTTCATTGAAAAATGCCTTTTAAGAAAACTGAAATTGACTTTTTTTTAGATAATTCGACGAACTCTCTCCAACTATGAGAAAATAACGAAAAAGAATCTTGCTGAACGTTTGAACTGTCGGCACCTTGCCATTGATCTTCCAGTTTGTCCATCAATTCTATTCGAAATATAAATCCAATTGGAAATAAATATTCGTTTCATCATCCATAAAACTCTCCTATCAGCTGGTGGTCGATTACTTTTAACACTTGTATAAAAAAGTAATTCATCGATATAGGTTACCGACGCTTGTTCCTCAACTTTTCCAATTCGCTTGAAATCATATGTTTTTCATTCTTGATTTGTTTAATCAGTAAGCACAGTTGTACAATAAAGAATTAACAGATGAGCGACGACTCGTAACGGCTTATCGTGAGCAACATATGACTTAAGAAGGTGTGAGAGAATTTTTAAGAAATCCATGTAAACAATTAACTTGTTCAACGTACGATCTTGCTATTTCTGGATAGAAATATATGAGATTTTTTCTACGATTATAGAAAAGAACATTCTGCATCTTATTATAAACACAAGGTTTTCTGTGAGACCCACCCTCAGGATAGAAACTGATTTTCAAGCAAATTCTAGTTTTCTGTCTATTTTATGCTAGTATTTCCACTCATTTCTATGAGTGTTTCCAATTGCCTTAAGCTGGGTACGTGGAAACGATTGAAACAATTTCAGCGTTTACCTTTTTAATTAGAACGCAGATTAGCCAATGAGTAGAGCTTGGAGGTTCTCACCATTTGTAGAGCAATAATTGGTCTATCTACCTGTTGGTTAATTTCCAGTATTGTCCTGAATAATGTCTTTGTTGCCTCATTGCAACTCTATATGAATTTTCAGCTGTACTATCATTTAATAAATCTAAGTGGAATTGTTTATCAATTGTTTCTAAATATCTTGATTTTATACGGTAGGCTGATTGTTGTTCATGTGGATAATTTGTTAAAACAAAAATCCATTGTTGATATGGTGATTGTTCTTCTAGAGGAGCTAATTTTAATTTATATGGAAATTCTGAAATCAATGTCAATACTTGGTTGGCTTTATTTAATTTAGTTGACAAAGTAAAATTATTATTATCGTTTAATTGTTTTATTTTCCATAATTGTTGTTCATCATTTTCAGATGTTATTGACATTCCAATAATTTGATTTTCATTATTATAAACAGCTAATGATTTTGTTGTTTGTTGCCATGTATTTGTTAGACGATAATAAATTTCATCAACTAAATTAGATAAAATATTGACACTACGGCTCATAATCATAAATAACGAACATCACCAATTCCAACGTCTGTATTAGTTCTAGTCCTAAATTAGTAGATTAAAACTTGGTCGACAAAAATAAATCGCAGAATGTTTCGCACCTTTTTTATTTCACGGTTTTTCGGATTATATACCCCCTCAGACCACTTCGGAATAAGTCAGAAACAAAACCATTTATCGATCTGATTATTTCGTCATTCGATAGAAAACTCTTTAAGAGCCATTGCAGATAAGCGACGACCAAGTACTGCAGAAACTGCTCAATCGCCTTTGTCAAAACTTGATTTATNTGATTTATAGGTCAAAAGTACAATCAGTAGCAAGTTTTTTGCCGCAAATCGCAGCTCTACAACCTAAGTAGTTATTGAGATATTCAAGTAAACTTAAAATTTCTTTCGGAGGTCATTGATAGCCCCTTCAATTCTCCACCTAATGAGATGCTAGTCAAGTTTCTACAATCTTGGACGACTGAGTCCAAGATTCCACATTACGTAAATATACACATTATATAAATTCATTCCGTTTACTGCCATTATCGAGCAGTGTCGTATTTTCTATGGCACGTTTTGACAGAAGATCGTAGAAACTTGACCAGCATCTCATTTGGTGGAGAATTGAAGGGGCTATCAATGACTTCCGAAAGAAATTTTAAGATTACTAGGTTTTCTAGAAAACCGAGTTTTTCAGGGATCTCTATCTCAAGCCCCAAGGTGTAGCATAACTTTCCTCCATGGAAATATATAAAACTCAACGCTCTCTTCCGTTTGATACCAAGTTCAAAGTTCTGTGTTAGGTAATGTGGTCCGCAGACGTTCTACAAGTTCGGCGAAAGCCGCCGAAGATGCATTCTTCCGATGTGAGGATAAAATGGCTATAACTTTTTTCTAATAAGCCTAGTGACTTGCGGTTTTCACCATTCGGTTCAGTTTGCTGTGCTCTATAATGTGAGATAGTTCTCGTCATTGACGTCAAAGGTCCACGCAAATGGTGGAAGGTTTTATATGGATTGAGTCTATCCGTCGACGCCGAAATTTCACTAAAAATTCAGTATCTTGCGTTTCTCTTGTAAGTCCAAAGTTTTTCTTTTGCCGTTTTATCACTCCACTCTTCTAGTATCTACGTGAAAAGGCTTAACCTTACTGAGGCGGTTACGTCTAAGTCAAGCCGTTAGAAAGTAACACACTCAAGCTTAAACGCTAATTGATCCTCATTCACTACCAAAAAAATTGCAACTTTTCTTAAAACTTGAATATCTCAATAACTACTTAGGTTGTAGAGCTGCGATTTGCGGCAAAAAACTTGCTACTGATTGTACTTTTGACCTATAAATCAAGTTTTGACAAAGGCGATTGAGCAGTTTCTGCAGTACTTGGTCGTCGCTTATCTGCAATGGCTCTTAAGGATAACTTTGTTGAGACTTTTTTATTTTTTGATTATTTTACAGAAAAAACCGTCGTTTTAGCCGATCAATTTATTCACGATCAATCTACTAGCATTGTAATCTAACAACAATTTGAGTGTATCAGATTGATGGTTGTGGCGTTAATGTACGATCTTCCTAGTCTACACCATCTAGAGCATTGAAAAAACTAGTCAATTAACTTCGAAAGTATACTTTTATGGATGCAATATTTTATTCTCGTTCTGTTGCAAGATATTTTAACACAATTCCTTTATTATTTGTATAATCTAAAATCGATGAGTGATTGGGTAACCAAAATGTTAAACCAGTTCTTATTGCTTGTTGAAAATATTCTAAAGCTTCTTGATATCGTCGGCATTTAAAATAAGCAGCAGCAATATTATTATAGATCGTTGATAAATCCGGTGGATAATACATTTGTTTCCTTTCTGATTCATTAAGCGCTTGTTGAAATTTATCTAAAGCTTCAGCATATTTTCCATTTTGATAATTAGCAAGACCATCATTATTTAGAAGTTTATGCATTAGGGATGTATTACTGGACGATAACGATTTTGTTATTAATTCTATTGTATTTTGTAATGATGAAGAAGTGGACGACGATTGAAGAGTCTTATTACACTGCTTAGCTACAATAGCATGATTATAAATTGAAATGGGTAAAGATGGATTATCTTTGTTGGTATTAGTGCTCTTAGTGCAGTAGTCCATGGCTTTTTTAAAATATTCTTCAGCCAAATGATATTCATCCTGACCTAATCGAAGACAGCCAAGATCATTATAAATTGGTCCTAGATCTTCATGATGTTCGGGTAACTCATTCAATAGTATTTTGTAGTATTTATCTGCTTTTTTATATTCACCTATTTCACTAAGAAATTTTCCAAACATTAACAGTGTTGATTTTTCCCCTAATTGTTCTTTTAAATATTGTGTTAGTTCAATCCTACATTCATCATCTTCGCTAGCTAATAATAAATCTACATTCCATACATCATATTTATCTTGCTCGATAGACGTTATACGCCACATTGTACCAACTGAGAATAATATTTCATCTTCATCCGGTATATGACTAAATTGCTTTATGGAAGCATAAGGTTGTATTAAAATTTTATCTTCTATTTTTCTTATAATGCATAGTTTAAATAAAACCCGTTCATAGCCAAAAGGTACGGTTGCTCCTTTACCAGAGTACATATCAGCAACAGATTCTTCTCGAGTAGCTGATAGAAATCCATTAATAGATACCAGGCCATTGATATTATTTTTCAGAGTTTTTAATGTCATAGTTGATATAACTTTACCTCGATAAATAACTGTTGGTACTTGCTGCGTAAGATTGTGCTGATGTAGAGAATATATTTGATTATGAATTTCTGTGATAATAAATCGAAATGTAAATAAACAATCAGGATCTTGTGTGCCCCGTACTTTATTTGTTAAACGAGGACAAAAACATGGTCTTGTATACCATCTTATTGCATGTTCAGAACAGAAAGTGGATTCAAAGTCTAAAATATTTTTCTTTTCTATTTCATTGTCATGATAATAATCAAGACACGCTTTTATCATGATGTCTTTTGTATCTTTCGTGAATGGCATTCGTAGTAAAATTTCAATTATTAGTTGAAACCAAATAAATTCAGTTGATTGCTTACTTAGATTTCGTATGGAATTATTTTCTTGACGCCTGAAACAACATAGAGATCGCAGTGGTCTTTTTTTATTGACATTTGCACAATTTGATCTATAATCGTCTAAATGTTTCATTAATAGTATTTTATCCGTAAAAATTTTATTGATCGTTTTTGAATAATTTTTTGCTATCCATTTTTGTTTTTGTGGTTCATCTTTACAATATATATAAATTGAAATGATTTCCAATCTATCATGAATAATTGAAATAATTTGTTTTGCTACATCACTAGATAAAATTAGTAAAATTAGTTTTTGTCCATCATTGTTCACAATATAATGAATAAATAAACATAGATCCGAAAATATTTTTAAATTATCATCACTTAAAAGTGTTTTTATGTCTTTGATAAGATCATCATTATCGGAATTTTTGGAATCAACAAATGCAATAGATACCTGATCATTGTCATTAAATAATGGTAATAATGAAGCTCTTAAACAGAGAGAATCGATAGTATTTGTAAAACAACCCACGCTATTTTCTAAACTTACTTTCCAACTACAACTCCCGGAAATTGATACATTTAAATTAAGTTCGCATGCCGAAGCTGATCCTACATATTTATCTGAAAGGAAACAAACAAATAGGACTTTTTTTAGAAACATCAACTCGCTGATTAACTTTTATTTGGATCAAATTTACATCACTCTAGAACAAAAAACGAGTATAGCCTGTTTGAAATCTCTGTTCGGTATTATTAAATCCTTTGCCCATCTCTTACCAGTACCTCAATATTCCCTTCTCCATTAGTCAGTTAGATTTCTTTTAGTTTTGTATTCATTTTCGATATACCTTCAACTTCTTATTAGAGGTCTGCAGGTTATGACTTTTCGATATTCTGTAACCTGCCCTATAAATAAATATTTTCGTGTTTTGTAACCTGTGCTTTCCTATCGAATTTATTATTCTGTCCTGTCTTAGCCTATAAAAAATGGCTCGTCCTATATCCTGTTCTACTATCTCTTTTGTTGAAGCAGGATTCATGACTCGATGTGACTAGGGAGGTGGGAGTGCTCCATGATTTTTGAACTTTTGCTGAATACTTTCCCATTTAGACCTGAAATTTCACTTAGTTTCTCTGTTGTTGGACTTGCTTTCTCCATTTTGGATTTAATTATGAGTTACAGTTCTGTCAAAACTCTAAAATAATGACCGGCACTGGCAGTACTAAAACATAAAGTTTATTCTTCTTGTATATCTTTATGAGAATAAAGAAAAATAAAACTGACTGAAAAAGCGACACGGAATTTTTAATTATAGAAAAATAAAATATGAGTCATAGGTCTCCAGGATTTCAAGACTTTTTTAATCTGGAGTAATCTCCTTGGCCAGAACTCTACTATAATTTCCATCAAATTTGTCCCTAAAACATACTTTATATCATCTCTTTACTATACCCTATTTTATCCTATAAATTTTGCGCAACCTAATCTGTTCAGATTAAACGTGACAAATTTCATCTACAGAGCTCTACTTCCTATAGCATTCACTACGTCTCTGCAATCTAAAGCCACGTCCTTTAATGTCCCTTTACCTCTCTATAGTTTACCACACATCTGCTTACGTCGTTGTACGCTGGAAACAGTTTGACATCTTAATATACTCTTATTTAAATTTATACGTATATATACCTACGCAGCTCTATCGGGAAGAATCAGACAGCTGGATCAGATACGATCAGATTGGATCTTATATGATCGTAGGTAAATCGTATGCGATCAGATACGACCCTACATAAGATAAGACCTAATCAGATAAGATCTTGCATACGCATTCAGGCGCTCTTATCTGATTTTGTACGAATTCATCTGATCGTATTTGGTCATCTATAAGGTTTTACTGCTCCAGACAAGGGTTCGGTCCACAAAAGTACACTGTCTTAAAAAATTCATTTGTTTTAATGACTTAAAAAAGAGTTTTGTTTGTGTTTGCTTGGGAGAGGTTTAGCTCCTACCCTGTACTGAGTATGGTCTGTATGGTCTCTCACTGTATTAAGAGTGAACAAAGATTACTGCTCTTTTCAGTTCTATGTTACATACATTCCGCTAGTCTTCGTTGCTATAAAGGAAAAATCTAGCCGATATAGATAGTGCTGATAAATCGCTCAAGCTGTCCTCTTTCTGAAGCAAAGAGTGGATGTAAGCATAAGTCTGATTCCATTCGTACGATCCATGTATTTAGATTGCATCTGAATCGTATTGTATGATTAGATATGAAATAGGATAGAAATCGGATGATAAAAAAGATACAATAGATGATAATCCGATCTCGTACGAATTTCTATGGTCATTTCTATGAATCAGACAAAATCCGATGATCCGTACGATCTTGTCTAATCGCGTCTGATCTTCGTACAACTTTTCGATCTGGATATAAACGTTTAATATCCCGTATATTCTTCTGTTGGTCCTCTATGGTTTTATTAGCACAGGGAGACCTAGACTGGTGTCTGTAACCTCTTGAAGTATATTATCATCTTCAACAATCCAGTAAAAGTTATCATAGCCCTCAGTGTACAAGTCCCGAATTATGAAGCTTGGGTAGTGAGCTTCTTTGGATGAGTTTCTCGTGTACAATGTTAAGGTCGTATCAGAGGAATTAGCGAATGATCAAAGTTTTCGGTATCCAGCCCAAACTTCTTCTGCATAAACATTCTAAGTCCTTTAGTTTCTCGAATATTTTGGAAAAATACTCATAGAAAATCTTTCTGAATTTGTATTCATTTGTAGCTGGTGATGTGTTAAGGGAAATTGAGCAAAGCGATGTTAGCCCAAGAACCTGACATCTCTCTACTCTCATTTATACACCTTTTTAAAACAATAGATGTTAAACTAAAGAAAAGGATTAATTATAAAGTTACTAAGAAAATCTTTTTTCTGATTTATATCGCAAAGTCAAGATGTTCATGAACTCATTGAAAAAGAAGCAAAATTGTACTTATCGATGGTTGATTGTTGCTGAAATATTATTTAAGTAATCCGTTATTGATGGATGATTTCGTGGCAAAATTTTTAATGCTATATCAAAAGCTTTTTCAAAACAGTCCAAAGCTTCGTTCCATTCTTGTTTCCGATGATGAATTCCACCAATATTATTCAGAATCATTGCATATTCAATCGTACTCGTTTCAGATAAAAGTTCTGAAGCTTTTTTAAAATATACCAGTGCTTTGTCATAATCTTTTTCAAACCAAATACATCCTCTATTGTAATAAATTAAACGTAGAGAAGATGCATTAAATGCTGGTAATTGCATTATAATATCTAATGGTCGTACATTACTTTCATGTGTCTTTTGTCTTATACTGTCAATAATTTTAGAACATAACTGATGCACATCTTCGTACGCGCCTAAATATTTGTAATATTTTCTTTTAAGTTTTTCATCGTTTATAGAAGGTGAGCCAAGTAAATATATAGCCCCAACTTGTTGTAGATCATGAATTAATGATATAATATTTTGATCATAAAAAGCCGATATAATCAAATTAATCGTTTTATTTGGATTAGTTGTAATATATGAAATACATAATAATGGATCATTGAATGATTTGATATAATTCGATGGCATATTGAGTGAACTCGTACCAGAAATCGATAAACAAATTATTTCAGTTATTGAGTCTTTTAGCTGTTCATATTTATCAGTTTGCTGGTCAACTTCTGAACCTTGAATCAATGAAATGTAAAAAACAGTTAAAGAAACAATAAATAATACGAGGTATAAAAAGAATTTGACAGTAGACTTTAAGGAAAATTTATCGTAGTCGTAGGTATGCCGAGACGATAGATGATGGTCAATCGATATTTACTACATCTTCTTGCTTCAGATATTTGTTTCCAGAGAGGAAAAAGGTCCGGATACAAACAGCGCTCAAAATCTCAACTATAATTGTTTCATCACTGACAAAGCCAAAAGAGTGGAGTAGCAATTTTATTGACTTGACTTGAGCTATTTTGCCCAGTTCTGGCTAGTTTTTACTATTTGGATAGCGCAAAATCCAATGTCGACTGAATACGTCTATCAATCTACGCAAACAATCAACGAACATATATTAAGTATCCGTCGTTGTCTAGGAGTTCTCTTAGCTATGTTAGGCAATAAAAGGCTATAACTAGTTTATCGTATTAGTTCGTTCTTTTATGGTTATCTTCCGACGTACGGTGTGCCTACTACAGACTTACAACAAAAGCATTTTCCACCATGTACAAGGTGGAAAAAATTTTAGCATGCTTGTTATACATCGTTGAATACAGCACATCGAGCTGATTAAGAAAATGTATTTTTTAATTTTTGAAAAAACCTTTTTCGTGGTTTATGAAATTCCTTGGCGACATTTTGGGGTTCGTTTTGGAACAACTGTACTGGAGAGGCCTTTAACTGAAATTGAACAAACGCGACTTTTCTATTCAATTTTTAATGCTAAATAAGAAAGAAATACTTTGGAAACTCCAGATTAACAAAGATAACGAAAATTTGAATTCTTTTGAACTTGAAGGATTTTTCGGGTTTATACGTTCAAGTTCAAGTTTTACCATGAAAAAGATTTTTTTCAAAAATTAAAAATAAATTTCCTTAACCAGTCCCATGCGCTATATCCAACGAACAAAATGCTGCAATCTTCCATAAGAAAGACTCATTTGTTTTTTTTAACGACGTATAATACTCACTTTTTGCTTCGATTTCTTGATCGATAGCATCGATCAGTGCCGTAGAAACATATTCGCCGAGTGAGAATAGTTAGTTAGGTCCGCGGTAACGACGAATTTTCTCTCTTTCCGTTCTAAAATCGTCAGTGTCACCGACATGTATCATCGAATAGAATATAACGGGTGATCCAAGATAAATTGCACTAAATTCTGATGCATTTTTCT